GCAGAAAATAGAACGAGGAATAATGAAATAAGTGAAGTGGATGAGATGAGATGGTATGATAAATACGAAGATTTATGATAAAATAGATTTAAACGTGAAAAAATATGCGTATATGTTTGTAATATATATGTACATATACGAAACTATATATAAATAAAAATGTAGGAAACTATGAAGATAGAAAATTCACGACAGCAAGAAATGGATCCAGGAATAGAATAGAAAAGTTGAAAAAAAAAATAATTCTGTAGTCCTCGCGGCCGCCAGGTGGGGCGCGTGCGGAGTTTCTTTCGTAATTGCGTTGAGGTAAAGAACTTGGCTGAGGAGAAAACGAAAAAAAAATATATATATGTATATGTAATTTTGATATTTTTTCTTTCTTATTGAAGAAGAAAAAAAAACGGGAAAAAATGGGTCTTGTTGTTTTTTGTTTTGGTTCTTTATTTTGATTACGAATGTGAAGGAATTGTTATTTTTTTTCAAGCATTTGATGTTGATTTTGATTTCACGATGTTACCTAACCCCCCACCCCCTCCCCCTCCCCCCCGCCGCCGCCCAGTATCGCTGGAGTCTACTGTAACTTATTTTCCAACATGATTTTGAAAAATGGATATGGAACAACCTTTTTTTTCCATTAATATTTGTCAGTATGAATGACAAATCGCAAACTTGATCCCCTCCCCCCCCAGCGCTCCGCCCCCCTCCCCCCCTCAACCACAATCAACAATCAACAATTACCTCCCGTATTACACGTGTTGACTACCCACGCACAATGGGCGCAACGGACGCCCAATCTCACTCTAAATGGGCGTGACGGTTCCCTTCTCCCCCTCCCCTCCCCCCCCACACACATACAAAACGGGCGTGAAACGTGGATGCTGAAATCGATACTCCTTAACACACGTGGTCCGTCAGCTGATTCTTTGCGTCAGCTGATTCACGCATAAACGTTCACGTAAGGCCAAGACAGGGGGGGAGGAGGGGGAGGGTAAGGGTGTGGGGGTTGGTGGTGGGGGAAGGGGAGGGGGAGGGGGCGGGTTAATGCTACTTGATTACCGTGGTATTATTCATTCGATACGATTTTATCTCGTTGGATCACGTTCTCGATTTACGTTCTCTCGGTTCTTGTTCTCTTTCTGCCTTATCTGTTGATCTGTCTAATAATGTCTGTCTCTGTCTCTGCTTATTCCACTCTATCTCGTCTTTTCTTTTCTTTCCTCTCTGTCTCTATTTTCTTTTCTTTCCTCTCTATCTCTATTTTCTTTTCTTTTCCTTCACTTTCCTTCTTTTTCTCCCCTTCCTTCTCCCCTCCCCTTCCCTCCCACCCCTCCCCTTCTCTCCTTTCCTCCCCTTCCCTCCCCTTCACTCCCACCCCTCCCCTCCTCTCCTCTTCTCTCCACCTCTCCCCTTCTCTCCTCCTCCCCCTCCCTAATTCCCCTTCTCTCCTCCCCTCCCCCCTCCCCTTCTCTCCTCCCCCTCCCTAATTCCCCCTCTTGCTCTCTCCTCGATCGGCTTAACCGCTTTCGTTGGTACTCACGCACATATGCCTTTTAATGTGTATGTACTCGCACGCGAAACCTTTGCCTGGATTCGGGGTCGGTCTTTGTTTTTGTTTTTGTTTTTCTTGTTTTTCGTCTGTGTGTGTTTGTTTGTTTGGTGGAGGTTGTATGTGTGTTTTTTTTTTTTGTGCGTGATTAAAAAAATGTTTATTTCTTTTCAATTGTCTTGTTTGTCACTGGTATATGCTGTGCTTGTGCTTATGGGGATGTGTGTGTGTGTGTGTGTGTCGTAGGTTGTGTTAATATATGCATTTATAATTTAGAGAGAGAGAGAGAGAGAGAGATAGAGAGAGAGCGAGAGAGCGAGAGAGAGACTGAAAGAGAAAGGGGGAGGGGCACACAACCCCCCCCCCCCCGAGCAGCTGATGAGAGCCTCTCACGGGAGATCACAAAAGGCCGATGAATTGCGGTCACACATTTTTTTCCTCTTTAAAATCCCATAGTCTTTTGGTCTCCCTTCCCCTCCATTTCCCCTCCTTCCCTCTCCCCCCTCCCCCCTCCCCTTCTCCGTTCCCTCTCCCTCGCTCTCACCCCTTATGGTATTGACTTTTTCTACTCAGCTATTCATTATGTTTTGTGATTTGATTTTATGTTTAACCCCCCCCACACACACACACCTCGCCTTCCTTTCTGGGTGAGAGATTTGTTTGGGTCTCCCCCCACCCCCACCCCGCACTCTCTCTCTCTCTCTTTTTTTTATATATATATATATATATATATATATATATATATATATATATATATATATATATATATACACACACACACACACATATATATATATATACATGTATATGTATATATACATATATATAAACATATACATTTGTATATGTGTATATATATACATATATACATGTACATTGTATATATATATATATATATATATATATATATATATATATATATATATATATATATATATATATGTACATATATGCATATATGCATACATATACATATATATATGCATATATGCATACATATACATATATATATGCATATGCATATATATGCATATATATGCATATATATGCATATATATGCATATATATGCATATATATGCATATATATGCATATATATGCATATATATATATATATATATATATATATATATATATATATATATATATATATATTATATATATATATATATATATATATATATATATATATATATATATATATATATATATATATATATATTATATATATATATATATATATATATATATATATATATATATATATATATATATATATATATATATATATATATATATATATATATATATATTATATATATATATATATATATATATATATATATATATATATATATATATATACACACACACACACACACATACATATACATATGTTAGTTCTGTAGTTCTGTTTTTTTTTTTTTTTTTTTTTTTTTTTTTTTTTTTTTGTGTGTGTGTGTGTGTGTGCATGTATGTGTAAATTAAATGATTAATAAATGTATTTATTCATATTTGTTTGCATGTAGGCCTACACCCCAGCCACATGGCCAACACCCGAACGCGCTTTCGTCCTCGCGCCTCGCTTGCGTCTTATCGACCCATCGCGATCGAGTGGAGTTTGAGCCCGGCTGATATCTGGATTCCCCCCCCCCCCACATCCACATCTAAGCTCCCCCACTCAACTCCCTATGGCGTTTGGAGTGGGGGGGGGGAAGGGGTCTTTTGGAGTGGAGGGAGGGGGTTGATCACGTTGAGGGGGGGCAGGGAGGGAGGGAGGGAGGGGGAGAAGGGAGGAGTGGAAGGGGATAGGATAGAGAGATGGAGAAGGGAAGGAGGAAGGGAGGGAGGGAATGTAGGAAGGAGAGAAAGAAGGAAGGAAGGGAATGAAATGAGAGAAAGAGAGGAGGAGGAAGGAAAAGAGAGAAAATGAGCGGAGAGGGACACAGAAAGAGAAAAAGACAGAGAGAAAGAGATAGAGATAGAGACACACCGAGAGAGACGGAGAGAGAGAACGCAAGAGAGGAGACAAGAGAGGGGAAGAGGATGAGGAGGGGGGAGGGGGGATGGCAACACACGGAGTACACGCGGAGGGTACTTGCACTGCCCTCCACTCCAGCTGGGGATCACAATAGAGCCATTTTGTGGGTGTTTTGTGTTCGAGAAGTTGCCATATCGGTGTCGAAAGGGGGGAGAAGGAGGGGGAGATGGAGGGGTAAGGGGAGACATGGTTGAAATGGAGGGGTAGGGAGGGACAGGGTGAGAGGGAGGGGTAGGAAGAAGAGGGGGAGATGGAGGGGTGGGGAGGAGAAGGGGAGATGGAGGGGTGGGGAGGAGAAGGGGAGATGGAGGGGTGGGGAGGGGAGGTGGGGCCGGGACGGAGGGGGGAGGGGTGTTGAGGTTGGATACGTATTGCGCTAATCCTGACGCTTGGCAATTGCTGTCTTTTTATGATGAACGATTATTTGATTTTTCATTATTATTATTATTAATATTAATAGTGTCATTTTTTTTGTATGTTTGTGTATGTGTATCACATTTCTCGTTGTTCTGTCAGTGTGTGCGCGTGTGTGTGTGTGTGTGTGTGTGTGTGTGTGTGTGTGTGTGTGTGCGCGTGTGCGTATGTGCATGTTTGCGCGTGTTTATATAATTCAATTTCCCGATTTTGAATATTTTCGCCCACAGTTCCCTTTTTTCTTCTCCCTCTCTCCTTCTTTTTGTTTTCTCCTTCCCTCTCCATCTTCCACTTTCCCTATTACTTCTACCATTCGAAAAGAGAGAGAAAAGAACGGAACAGAAAAAATAGAGAAGAGGGAGGATAGGAAAAGAAGGGGAAAACTTTACAGCTAAATGAAAAAGGATTCACGAATGATATTAAGAAAAATGAAAAAGAGAGAGAGAGAGAGAGAGAGAAAGAAAGAATTCGAGAGAATAAAAGAAAGAGAATGAAAAAAGACAGAAAGAGAACTTGTTCTTTTCTCTTCCTCGTTTCCAATTAATATTACTTGTTCCTCCCCTCATTCCCCCCGTTTTATTCTCCCTCTCCCCTCCCTTCTCAATTCCCCTCTCCTCTCCCCTCCGTTCCCTTCTTACAACTCTCTCCCCTCCCCTCCCTTCCCCTCCTCTCCTCCCCTCAACTCTCTCTCTCCCCTCTCTCCTTCCCTCTTCTCCCCTCTCCTCTCCCCTCCGTTCCCTTCTTACAACTCTCTCCCCTCCCCTCCCTTCCCCTCCTCTCCTCCCCTCAACTCTCTCTCTCCCCCCCTCCCCTCACCTCTCTCTCTCCCCTCTCTCCTTCCCTCTCCTCTCCCCTCCCCTCTCCTCCCTCCCCATCTCCCCTCTCCCCTCTCCCCTCCCTCTCTCCTCTCTCCCCCCTCTCCCTCCCCCCACTCCTCCCTACCCTCTCCCCTCTCCTCCCTCCCCCTCCACCCCCACCCCCCTTTTGGCGTTTGGCCCCGATGGCAGCGAAGGTTAGAAAGGGGAACAAGGCAAATGGTGTGGAATGGAAAGGGAGAGAGAGAGAGATAAAGAGAGACGGATAGAGAGATTGACGATTCGAATGATGCGAGAGGGGAGGTGAAAACGCACGTGGTGGTAGATACACACACGTACGGGTTTGTGTACGTATGCATGTACATACGCTTATTGCACGTACACACGCGTACACAGAAGCCCGTCCCGTACCTCCCTCACCCTCACACGTAGTCTCCCCCTCCCTCCCTCGATCCTTCTCCCCCCCCCCTCACACACGCACACGCACACACACACACACACACACACACACACACACACACACACACACACACACACACACACACACACACACACACACACACACACAACGCACGCAAAGAGACGCCGTTTCTTAAAAGCGAGATTGCGGATTTAATCACCTGTTTGGGGTTCTCTCGCTCAGCCGGATTCCATGTTTATCCGATGAGGTCCGTTTGCATCTGGAATTTTGGGGAGGGGGGGGGGAGAGGTGGTGGAAGGAAGGAGGGGAGGGGGGGGAAGGGGGAGGTGGCGGGGGAGGGCGAGAGAAGGAAGGGGGGAAGGGGGAGGGGGTGGAGAGAAGGGGGAAAAGAAGGGAGGAAGGGGGGGAGGTGGTGGAAGGAAGGGGGAGGGGGTGGAAGGAAGGTGGGGAAAGTGAGGGAGGGGTGGAAAAGAGGGGGTAGGGAGGGGGAAGGGTAGAGGACTGGTAAGGAAGAGGGGAGGACGGGTGGAGGGGTGGAGGGAGGGGTAAGACCGGTTGATTTTGCATTTAATTATTGGTGTGTCCTTTTTCACTCCTGTCGGTCTTCTTGGTCTTTGTCCTTTCCCTCTTCTTTTGTATATTTTCTTACGTATTTCATTTTTCTTTTTTCTTTTTTTCGTGTGTCTTATGTCATTATGTCTGTCTAGATAGATAGATTAAGAATAATATGTATCGGTTTATTACTGTGTGTGTGTGTGTGTGTGTGTGTGTGTGTGTGTGTGTGTGTGTGTGTGTGTGTGTGTGTGTGTGTGTGTGTGTGTGTGTGTGTGTGTGTGTCTGTATGGGTGTGTGTACGTGTGTGTGTGTGTGCGTGTATGTGTGTGTGTTTGTGCGTGCGTGTCTATGTATGCATCTGTGCTCTTTTCCACAGTTTGCGAAATTCAGCCGCAAATTCGCGTAAACACATTTCCTATTGTAAATGGGCATGGTGCATAGACGGGTAAAAATGTACGAAAAATACGAAAGATGATTAGGTATCGGCTTAAAGGCAACGGACGTGTCTGAATAACGGAAAGCTCGACGGGGAATTTACTCCCCTTTTCATTCTCTCTCTCTCTCTCTCTCTCTCTCTCTCTCTCTCTCTCTCTCTCTCTCTCTCTCTCTCTCTCTCTCTCTCTCTCTCTCTCTCTCTCTCTCTCTCTCTCTCTCTCCCCCCCATCCTGTCTCCCCCCCTTACCCTCTCCCCTCCTAGCCGCTACCCCTGCTGTCATTTCCCCTTTCTCCCTCCATTCCCCTTCACCTCCCTCCCTTCCCCTCGTCTACCTCCTTTCCCCTCACCTCCCTCCCTTCCCCTTCACCTCCCTCCCCTCCCCTCGCCTCCCTTCCCTTCTCCCTCCCTTCCCCTCGTCTCTCTTCCCTTTCTCCATCCGTCCTTCCCCTCCCCTCACCCTCCTTCCCCTTCTCCCTCCGTCCCTCCCCCCCCTCCGTTATCCCCGCTGCTATTTCCCCTTCTCCCTCCGTCCCTGCCCCCCCTCCCCCCCTCCCCCTTCCCCGCTGCTATTTCCCCCTTGTCCCTCGACCCCTAAGGGACATTGTGTGACTCATCGACACCTGTCAGTCATCTGCTGATTGGCCAGCGGTGAAGGGCAAGGGGTTGAGGGGGGGGGGAGAGGGAGAGGGAGGGAAGGAGGGAGGGAGAGGGTGAGGGAGAGGGAGGGAAGGAGGGAGGGAGGGAGAGAATAGTGACAATAATAATAATAACAATAACAATAATAATAATAGTTACAATGATAATAATGATAATAATAATAATGATAATAATAATAATAATAATAATAATAATAATAACAATAATAATAATAACAATGATAATAATGATAGTAATAATAATAATAATAATAATAACAATAATAATAATAATAATAATAATAATAATAATAATAATAACAATAATAGTTACAATAATAATAATAATAATAATAATAATAATAATAATAACAATAATAATATCGATAATGATAGTAAAGAAAGAAAGAAAGGGAAGGGGAGAGAATGGCTGGGGGGGGGGGGGCTGTCAATACCGGTGCTACAAATTGGGTTTGAGGTTGCGAATAGGGACCTGAAATGGGTTGTGAAATTGTTAGTCAAACGCGGAGTCGAAATTGCTATTAACTGGGATTCAAATAGTGGGAAGGGGGGGGGAAGGGGGGGGAAGGGGGAGTTTCAAGTCAAAATTGAGAGTGAAATTGATGTCCATTTGAAGTCGAATAGGAAGCCGAGAGTGATGTTGGATGAGAGGAAAATGAAGTCAGATAGATTCATCAGATAAGAAATTTTTAATTGAGGGTAAATTGTAGCCCCAAAAGGACGAGTCGGATTTAGGGTTTTGAATTGAAGTCAAGGAAGGAAATGAAAGGTTTTTGAAGGGAAATCTCTCTCTTCCCCCCCGCACTTTCTGATCCGTCACTACCCCTGTTTTTATTCTCATTACCTCCTCTCCGTTCCCTATCCCCATTTTATCCTCCATACCTCCTTCCCCTTTCTCCTCCTCCCCCTCCTCCTCCTCCTCCTCCTCCTTCCCCTTCCTCCTCCTCCTCCTCCTCCTCCTTCCCCTTTCTCCTCCTCCTCCTCCTCTCCCCCCTCCCCCTCCTCCTCCTCTCCCCTCCTCCTCCTCCTCCTCCTCCTCCCCCTCCCCCCCCCCTCCCCCTCCTCCTCCTCTCCCCCCTCCCCCCCCTTCCCACCGCTCCACCTGCTGCTTCTCCATTTTATTGCATTACCGCGGGAAAGTAATTGGATTTTCTCCTCTTACTTCTTCTTCGTCCTCCTCTTCTTTTTCTTCCTCCTCCTCCTCTTTTTTCCTCATCCTCCTCCTCATCGCTTCGTCCTCCTCCTCCTCTTCCTTCTCCTCTTCTTCCTTCTCTTCCTCCTTCTCCTCCTCCTTTTCTTCCTTTTTCTCCTCCTGCTCCTCATCCTCCTCATCCCTTCCTCTTCCTCTTCTTCCTTCTCCTCCTCCTCCTCCTCATCATCATCTTCTTCCTTCTCCTCCTCCCCTCCCCCCCTCCTCTATCATGTCGTGTGAGTTGATCCCACTCGATTTTCCCAGGATGTTTCGATGGAGGACGCGGGCGGGGAGGAGGGGAGTGAGTTTGGGCGCGGGCGGGAATCGGGGAGGGGGGGGGGGGGAGGGGAGACATGAGTTTGGGCGCGGGCGTAGGCACGTGGGCTCACTCTCCTAGATATACAGTTTTGTTGTGATTAGTCGTGTGT